AGTATTTTATTTTTAGTTTTTTTATAAAAATTGTATGAATATGAAATTTGGTACGTGCCATCTTCTCATTGGGGCGCACCTATAAAAAATATTAAAAATAATTTTCGACAAAATATAATGATCAAAATACTCCTTAAACTTTCAGGGGTATTTTGGTTATTTTATTTTATTGAAATTTTTTTTTTATATTTTTCCTAGTGCGAGTTTAATATAGGAATGGACATCCAAAATTTGGCGTCAAAATAGTTTATAGAAAAAATTAAAAATAAAATAACATAGAGACGGGACATTGTGATTAAGGCAAATCTTAGCCCTCAATTCAGAATGGACGGTTGGATAAGGGGAAGGATAGAACTTCTATGCCGTAGGAGAAGCATAAAAAGCTTGCCCATCAAAACATTCCCATAAAAGATAGTTTTTTATGCGAGAGTAGGTTTCCCAAAGAACATTCTCGTCCTATATGCTCCCTCGATTTTGAACTGCAAGCTTATTGTCTTTGACTAATAATTTATTATCACGATCTAATGTTTGAAAAATTATGTTGTCATAACCAAAATAAATAAGAAACTAGCTTTGTTTTTTTCGTTTTCAAAAATTTATAAATCTAAGTATAAAGATTTACACTTCAAAAAATTGGTTTATGAGTAAATTTTTTATTCCCTAAATTATGAATTTTTAATATTTCAATTTATGGCATTTATATTTTTCAGTATTTTAAAAGCAATTTTGATTATAATTTTAAAATATAAATTAATTTTAAAACCTTTTATGTTTTAAATTATGGATTTTAATATTGTTTTAATTGCATTAGTGACTCACTAATCCATTTTCTTATGACCTTAAAAATATAAAAAGTGCCTTCTTTTGCATACTTACCAAGAAGTAATAAGGTAAGAATCCAAAGCATTGAGGAATGGAGGGGGTTATGGTTGTATAATTTTTTGATATGACATGTTAGAATTATACTTTTTTTAGGTTTTGCGATTCATAATTTTGTACTTTTCTGGGTTTTGAGATTTCTAATTTGAAGATATGCATACTCTTTAAGAATTCCCAAATTCTAGAACAACACTAATTGTACCGTCGGAATTATACTTTTCTAGAATCATACCATGACCCGCTCCATATCTCTCTCAGGACACTGGATGTTTATGTATTATATTTTGTATCTAAAAAGGTTTGTGTTTGTTCATTCAATATTCAATGTTTTTCAATTATGTGCGAAGCACGTCCTTCTTACTAGTGTGTAAAATATTGGAAAAGAGATTGTCACTTAGCCTACGAAGGCATAGCTACGATTGAATCTTCACTAAAAGTAAATATAATCTGCCTTGGCCGACCCCAAGCCTGGTAAGGGATGAGGGTTGTGCTAGGTAAGCAGTCAGTAGTTGCCAAATCTTTTCATGAATCCTGAAGTTAATGGCAAAACAAGATTTGTATACCCAATTCCAAATAGTTGGGATAAGACTTGGATGATGATGACGACATTATATATATATATATATATATATATCTATATGTGTGTGTGTGTGTTTCATGCTATTGTTGTATAGTAATATGATGCAACAACCTTCAAAAATCATGTTAGGGCTATTTGTTTGATCCAAATTTTGAAATATACACTATTTTTATTGTAATGAACAATACAAAAAAAAAAAAAAAAATTGAAAACCTAACTTAGAAAGTATTTTTTTAGCCCAATTAAAT